AAAAAAGTGTGTTTTAAATACCGCGAAACGTGTGCGTATTCGTTTGTGGTACTCGTCTGTGTTAGCCGGATTCCAGTCCCAAAATGTTTTCCAATGAAACTGCATTTTGTGCTGGACACTTCTCCGCTCTTTACCTAAACTTCTCCACTAAACACTTGTTGTCCTTTCTCTCAAAAACAGACAAAACTGTGCTTGAGCCACAACCAATTGTTATAAAAAGCAACGATGAAAGTCAGACTTGACAATTTTTAACCAAATCACATTTCTGAACCAAGACTACCCTTTTTCCATTCTTATTCATCCGTTTGTTGCTTCAAACCTCAACGCGAAAATTAGCAATTTGCTTTGCTAATTTCTGGCACTGATTTTCTCTGCAACAGCGAGATTTTTCCACAGATGGACGGAAAAAGAAGAAATCACGGAATCACTAATAAGCCAAAGAATTCGCATGGATGAGCCAAGAAATGCTCTCATTAGGACACTAAGTGGCGGAGACATAGTCAAAGAACGATCAAGTCATGCTTTTGCCCGATCCTACATTACTGGTGGAGCAAAATTGCAGATCAGCTATACTTCTCGAGTATGTGCCGATATTTGTCAACATATCGGAAAACTGCATGGTGAGATTGTGAAGTTGAACAGAGGAACGAGCTATGTCCGAGACTTTCGTGTTGCCACGAAACGAAATGACTGGAAAGAAGTCTAAAGGAGTGCAGAAGTACAAACAGTCGATTACTGCAAGGCTGTCGACATGTTTTTTTCTTTCTAGAACTTGTTGCCCCATTGATGTTGTGAATTCCCTAACTTTCATCTTGAAAGCACCAATTCTTACGAAAGCGCAAGACAAAATTTACGATCACCAATTTTTTGAAAAATTGGCAAAAAACATATGCAATTTTGTTCTTTTATTTTCACTGACAACAAGAACACACTAATTTGGCAAAATTCGTTAATATGAGCAAATATTTCAAAAAATGTGCCATTTTAGGCAAGTATCTGCAGGTAGGAATCGGAGCAAAAACTAGGAGCGTGAAGTAACGAGCTCAGTGTCTGTCTACATTGCTTTAACGCAGAAAACCATTGAGTGCGCTGCTTCAGGCCCCTCCTTTCGATCACTCAAAGTCAGTTCCTATAAAATTCCGAACGCATATCCACCAACTGAACGGGCACCGGCCAGGACGCATAAAAAGGCCCAGAAAATCAGTGTGAAAAAATCGGTCCAGTGGACGGAACAGATTCGGAAAGTACCGATGAGAGGAGTGGACAGAAACGAATCCACATGCTCATGCCACTGAGTCTTCTGGATTTAGGACTGGGCAAACACGACTGGTCAATGACATTAGTAGCGGTCATGACCCACATACCTTCCGTATGAATAATGATTGCCTTTGAGGTGACCAGTGGAAGGTGGAGGGAAGCTGAGAATTTATTGTAGAGCGGGAAATTGAAGAAAAGCGCGCGGTAGGGCAAGGATCAAAGAAGAGAG